TTTGCTCAAATTCTGAGCAGAGAGAATCGTATAAAAATCGTAAAATGAAATTAAATTTATTTATACTTCACATATTTTTTGATATTATTTTATTTCATTTACTATATTATTATTATAAAAGCAATATACCTTCATAGTAATATTATAACAATTTAAATTAATTGTTTAATAGGTATAATTTTTCTATATTATTATTGTAATAATTATTTCATTATTATAATTCTTTATTAAATAATATTATTATTAATAATTTTTGATAATAATTATCTTTCATTTATTTTTATTAAAATTTGTATATATGTAAATATTTACTATTAAGTAAAATATGGCAATTAATTATAATTATTTATTACTCTCATTTTGTTTATTAAATATACTAATATAATGAAAAAAATAAAAAAATTAAATTAATATAATTAATTAAATATAATTGCTTCTTTAATGATAATGTATTACATAATATTATGAAAATAAAGTTACATATAAAAAATTATAATATTTATTATGGTATATTTTTAATTTACTTATTAAAAATATTTTAATAATATAAAATTAAATTTTACAAAAATAATACAGAATATAGAGAAGATAATTTTAATAAGAAAATTATTATTAATATAAGAATATTTTAAATAAAAATAATTAAAAAATTGGAATAAATAAAAATTTATATTAAATTTAAAACAAAAGAATTATTTACTTATTTTTTTATTTTTTTTTATTAATATTATATTTATTTTAACTGTTGGAAATTACGAATAAATTGATGAATTTTATTTTGTCAATTTATTGTTATAAATATTTTACGTTACATTGTCATATATTTTTTTTTTAAATAGACTTTTTGCAAATATGAAGCACATTATACTTATAATGAATTTGTTTTTTTTTTTTATATTATGTATAAAATGTAGTATGTAAATATTTTTGATACTATCATTTTATATTGTATGTTTATTTGTGTTCACTTGCTATATATTGAGTTGTAATATTTATATTGTATGAAGCTATTAAGAATTGGCATAAATTTTTATTTTTTAATTTTTGTTTCTCATATATTATTATGGCAGTTTTCTATATAATATGAGGTTGTCAGTCAAGAGAAACAAATAATCAGTAATCACAATAACTAAGGATTTTTTTTTCATTGTATAAGTATTTTAATATTAATAATATTATTTTCATTGTGTGTTAATACCTTGTTGCAAAAATTTTTTTATTTATATAAGTTATTTTTTGTTGTTATTGAATAAAAATACTCGCATTGATAGTTATTTATTTATATTTTCGTTTATTATTGAATACAGTAAAAGATTAATATAAGTTGATGTTAATAATTTGCAGCTTATTCAAATGTCCTAAATTTTAATCGAGTTGGAATATATTTTGTAATTTAAAGTTGTGCTATTCATATATGATTACAAAAATAATTAAATTCATTCATTTTAGATATGTAAATTACTAATATAAGACAAGACATGATTGCTAATAGAGGAATTTTCAAAAACTTCAGTTAAAGTATGACGGATAAGGCGAAATTTTGATTATTTGTAAAATTTAGAATTATGACGTATAAATTACGAAAAGAAATTATTTTAAAATTTGTTCAAACACAAATATGATTAATCAAAATGAAAACCGGTTCAATATCGTTCTAGATTCACTCTTCGAAAGTCATATGCAAAGTAAATTTAGTTAATTTTTATATGAACTAGTCAGACATTTATTGCCAAACTATAGTCAATTATAAAGAAGTTTTAGTGTAATAATACAAGAAAAATATTAATATTAATTACAAACTATGTATGAATTTATTATTTAATTATGTAGGGCAAATAGGATTACCAATACATTGTATTTATTTGAGTGTATACAGAAGTTATTTCCAGTTTTCTTTGTTTTATTTAACGTGGGTAATATTATTTATTTATGACTTTTTTGTCCTTGACAATCCTTTGGTTTTTGCTTTTATTTCTGTTTCTTTTATGATTGCATTATATAAAGAAAATATATTTGCTTTGGATATACATACGTACATGTATTTATGTATTTAAATTTAATATCCTTTTAGTTTTTAATTATTTATCATCCTATAATTTTGAATTTTAATGAATTTTTTGTGAATTTTTTCCATAATTTTAATGACACAATAGTATCATAAAGCTTTAATTGTTAATATTTTATTATTATTTACAATTGTATACGTATATATACATATATTATTATGTACATTTATGATATATTCAGAAAATATAACAGTAACGCAATAGAAAATATTTTTAATTAAATAGGATTAATGTTGTAATATCCTATATCCTTGACCTAAATTAAATATTAATTTAGATGATGGTAAGAAAATATATCTGATAACAACTAAATTCAATGTTATATTTATAAATACTAGTAATATAAAATAAATATAAAAAATATTTTATTACAAAAATGAATGTTTGAGGTTAAAAATATTAAAAGTAATGGATGGAGGAATCAATACGGAAAGAAGTAGTTTCTATTGCTGCTTTACTTGTTATAGTATTTGAATAATTTTTTATAAATATTAGAAGTAATTGAAAACATAATTTTATGGTATGTATTTCTACAGTCGTATAATTAAATGTCGTATATTTACAATAAAATGTATGAATTTTAACTAATACTCTAAATTGAATGCGGTTTAGTAACTGAGTTTTGTTTTTCATTAATGATTGAGAAATTAGTGATCTACTTTTGTTAGGCTTTTGAGTATGTATTTAGTTTGACTATTCATTACCCCATCGCTGCATAAAACTTTTATAAACAAAAACTATTTGGCATTCTCAAGGATTTTTGCGTTTTTTCTTAGATTTTTGAAATATCTTAAAGTTAGTGTTTACAATATTATGTCTACTCGGTAATGAACGAAAAAAAAACCTCTCAATTCTCATTAATGATCGAATAAATTTGAATATTTTTATTATCGTATATGAACTGAGATAACATGAACCTTTAATTATTAAATAGAAAATTTAAATTGTAAATTTAAATAGGGATCTAGTAACATCAATTTCAATTTACAGTAAATATTTGAACAAAAACTAAAATAAAATTTGACATGGCACCATAGAATATTATTCAATAAAGAAATGTTAATTTTGAATCTGAAAAAAGCAAACCAAAAATTAATTTTTAAAGTTCTGCCATATCAAAAACTTTTGGTTTGAAAATTTCAATATTTTTCTCATTATTTTTTTGTTTCTCTTTATTGACACGCTTTAAATTATATTTTGCTTCTATAAGTCGTCTACCAAATAATGATGGAATACTTTTACCTGTTAAACTTCTATCATCATTATTGTCTTTCACAGTTACCTTTCGATTTTTGTTTTGCAATGATTTATCAATTTTATTTTTGGTATTAAAAATTGATTTTTGTGATTTAATTAAATTTTCATCAGTGACATTTGACCAATGTTGACAATTTTTTACTGTTGCTGTTGTTAATTTAAAACCGTTTGAATCATCAAGGCTTTCATTTTCATTATTAAATATATCAGATTTTTTATCATTATTAATATTATACTTACCATCGTCAATATTATCATCATTATTATCATGAACATAATTACCACTTTTTAGTTCATCATTTTTATCATCATCATTGTCATTATCATTATCATCAATATGAGAATTTCTATTTTTATTTACATTTTCAATTGATATTAGTGGCGATTTTGATGATGATGGTGGTGGTTGTGGCGATGATGATGATGAAGATGATGTTAATGATGATATTGATGATGATTGCATTTTTTTCACATCATTCAATTCGGGTGTCTGTTGAAGTTTTAATTTCGTTGCTGTTATTGTTGAAGAAAATTTTTGCTTATTCATTTTAGAATTATTGTTGATTATTTTCTTTTGCCTTTGTATTGTGTCAACTGATGGTGGACTTGAGAAAAGAGGATTTCGATAAATAATTTTCTTTTGTTGTTGCTGTTGATGTGACTGCTTCAGCTGTTTATCTTTGTGCAAAATAAGAGGATTTCCAGTACTGGTGTCTGACATCCTATTGACAATTACTTTAGTACAAGCAGTAGGAGCATCAATATTTGTAGAATTCATTGAAAATTTTTCTTTATTTATCGATTTCTTTTCACGATTATCTTGTAAATGACAATGAATATGGCGTTGTTTTTGATCATATGGGTTTTGACCTTTGATTATATTAATTTGTGATGTTGTCGATGATAATCTGCAGCCAGGCAAATGAACTATTGAATTTGGATTTTGAGATTTTTTCTCCTTTTCTTCCAGTTTTCGTGATTCAATTTCAGCCATTGAGTGCGTTAAAAATTTTTGTTTAGATTTTCGAATGCTTTTTTCATGTTTATAGTCTGCTCTTGTCGATTTTTCATTTAAGGTGGATGATAATTGTTTAGATTTTTTAGATTTTTTTTTTAAAAAACTTGGATACTTAATAACATTTTTAATGAACGATTTACTCAGAGTTGAGCCACGTAAAAAGCTCTCATTATCATCATGTCTCACTTTCTGTGAAATATCATCATAATAGACATCACTCTCATCAGAATTTAGTCGTTCATTAACATGTAATGGATAATTTGAATATTTTTTTAACGATGCCTGATTCGTATTTATTGCAGTTAAGTTATCCTTTGTGGTTTTAGAAGTTGCTGTTGGCCGTTGTTTTGTTCGCGTTATAGTATTTGTTGTTCGTGATAAAATTCCCATGTTTTCTTCGTCATCTGAATTAATATCCTCAATTCTATATGATAAATTTGGGTTTTTTTGCTGTTTAGATAGCAATTGCTTTGAATGGTTTTGCAACTTTTTCTCTTTAATGGTATGCTCTCGTTTAGTAAGGGTTTTTGGACTTTTTTTCTTAAATTTCGTTGCGGCATTAGTGGTAGTTACATTATTCAGATTTTGTTTTGGATTTTCATTTAAATTTTCAATTTCTAACGCGTTATCAGAAATGATTTTATTATTTTTGGTTTTATTTATTTTTTCTCTTTCAATAAGTTCTGATAATAGGGCTTTATTTTTTTGATTGTGAATTGAATGTTGCAAAATTTTAGATGGGCTCGATTTGAAATTATGGCTCGATTCTTCAGTTCTATCACGTTTCATGATCAGTTTTTCTTGATTTTGTGAAGTTATTGGCATTGTGTTGTGTTGATAAATTTCATCAAAACTATTTTCGTCATCTAATTCATCACCGTCACCATAACTGATAAAAATATCTTTAAATGCTTTGTTAACAACTTCATCTTCTATGTTGTCGGTTGTTGAATTATGGTGCTGAGCGTGATGATATTCATATTGATTTGTAGATATTTCTTTGGTTTCAGTTTCTCTGTCCTTTGCTTTTAATTGTTCAATATTTCGATCAACAGGTGGCGGTGGAGGTGGACAACTCTTATAACTACGTTTCTTTTTTCTAACTGGTTGAGAATTTTTTATTGAATTATCTGATTGTTCCATAATTCTTCCTACCACAGTATTTCTAGAATAATTTTTTGTTTGATCCTCGGGAGTCAAATTGCTATTTAAAGTTTTATTTAAATTAATTTCATAATTATGTATAACATTTTCTAGAAAGGTAGGTTTAGCACATGCCAAAGCAATGTTTTCAGGGCAGTATTGAGGACCTGAATTAAATTGAACTGAATTAGAATTGTATTTAGATGAGGAAGGAGAATTAGTTGTTAAATTTAAACTATTGTTAACATTTTGTTCAGCCTTTTGTAAATTTTTCGGATTTCCTAAATAATTTCCAGATTTTTTAATTCGATTTTCATTAAGTTTTTGCTTTAATTGATCATATTTACTTTTACTAAAACTAAATTGTGATATTGTTGATTCAGATGGCTGTATAATATTAATAGTTTGCTGATAATTATTTTGATTATTATTTATTGATGATAACAATGATTCCTCATTATCATTAAAAGGATTTTTATCTGATTGACCAATTAAAATTGGTTCTAATTTTGATTTATTAATTCGATCTTGTAACATTCCCATTGTTTCGAATGTATGAACAACGCTTCCAACATGAGTTTTTATTTCCGGTATACCTAATTCACCGCTAAACAAATCACGTTGATGACGTTGTGAGCTTAGTAATAATTCACTACGATTACCGATAGTTGAAGTATTACCAAGCATATTAATACCTAATAAATTTTGATTATTGTTTGAAAATGAATTCCTTGTAACTGGTTTTGGTTTAGTTGTTGAATATAAATTACTGGTTGAAGCTGCATTTCTTAACGGTTGAATAGTTAAAATTACATCAGAATTTTGTGATTTTATTGTATGATATGGCAGTTGTGTTATTTGAAATTGTTGTTTTTGTTGTTGCCGTTGTAAATGTTCGTTTAATAATCGTTGTTGTTGTTGTTCTATTTGTAATTTTTGCTGTAATTGTGACTCTTGTAATGTATGTTGTTCTTTTTGTTGATTATTTTGTTGCTGTAGTATGTGTGTATGGTTTAAATTTTGATTTTGTAAAAAATTTAGGTGTTGTTGCTGTTGTTGTTGTTGGTGTTGTTGTTGTTGATTTTCATAATAGGATTGTTTTTGATAATGTGGTTCAAATAATTGTGTTTGCATATTTTGATTTTGTACAAATAATTGATTTTTATCATTCACATGTAATTGATCAGGATAATTTTGTAGTTGTTGATGATATTGTGGTATCATATATTTATTATTTTGAAGATATGTTGCTTTTATTGTTGTTGACTGCACGAATTGTATATAAATTTCGATAATTGAATTTCATTGTCATAGAATATTTGGTAAGAATTCGTATGTTTTTTTTTTATTTTATTTTTAATTTTCATGTTAAATATTATTATTGAAGTAATTATGATTTAACGTTGAGGTTATATAAAATTTTTGTATTTAAAAATTAAAAATATTAGAAATTAATATTAAAAAAGAAAAAAAGAAAAAAATAATATTATGAATTATATTATGAAATTATAAATTGAGAAGCAGTAATAGCAAATAATAACATTTTATAAATAATAATAATATTTTCTAAAAAATAATAATAATACAAATGAATAAAATATAGAATGTACTCTTAAAATGTTAATTGCAATTTTATTCAGTGTTACCATAAACCAAAATATCTACCCTATATTCATATTTTTGTCTCATTTTTTTTTTTGTTTATTTTGTGAAAATCTTAAGCTTGTTAATGTTATTATAGTGCAGCCAATGCCGATTATTCGAAAACACGTTTAAAGGATGAATTAAACATCGCAACTGTTTGCAGATTTTCAAAACTTTAATTTGTATGCATATTATTCGGAAATTATATATGGTATTAACGGAAACTTTAATAGTTTTCTTTAAAATTTTTTTTTGAATTTAATATTTGTTTTCATCCTTTAAACGTTTTTCAAGCCAAGCGTTAGTGTTATCAGAGTAAAAAAAAATTAGGTTTTTTGTGGCTATTTCCATTGTTTTATTATTGAAATTTTTTTTGCTTAATTATTATATTGCTGCTATATATTTATATATATATATATTGTATATTGTTGCTCAAACCAAAAAACTAAATCCAATTTTAAAATTTCCTTTACATAATTCTGTAAATTATTTATTTTGTGTAAGACTTTCGTATTTTAAATTTTATTTTATTTTAGATGCATTGTAATAAGAAAACAAAAATAAATATGAGAAAAAAAAATTAAAAAAATAATTTTTATGTATTTACAATTAATTTTGTTATTGTTAAGATTTTATTTTAATATTATATTTAAATAATGTTATATGATATTATATATAGCTGATATAATATGTATAACAGTTTATACAATACATAATAATATTTTTTATTTTTTGATTTTATTTTTTTAATTTAAATTTCAATTAAGTATTTGTGTTTTTTCCTGGTTTCATTTTTTTTTTGATTCACATTTTACAACCATCATTTTTGATTTAAAGATTATGCTATTAATTTGTATATAAATAATTTTTCATTTGAATTTTGTTAATTTATTTGAATTTATTTCTTGTTATATGTTTTATTTTTAATAATATGTAGTTTAAATCACATACAAAGCTAATATAAAATTTAATGCAATAAATATGTACAACATTAACTAACGTCATATTTTTTATCATTGAATTTTTTGTTTTCAAGAATTATTAGTCATTTCGGGCTTTTCAATTGAATTTTAGTCAGGCCAATAATATTATCCATTACTATTTGTGTTGTAATATTAGACATTTTTTTTGTAAACTATTTATTTTTTCGGTTTACAAAAAAAATTCATGAAATTAAAGAAAATGTAAAAAATTATTGGATACTATTAATTTCTTGCATTTGTATAACTAAACAAGATTTCTTTAACTTTTAAAAAAAATTTAATATTATGGTCACATTATAAGGATACTTTCTGAAATTTTTAATAATACAATACGTAGGTGTTGTGACATTGCTATTCAATATTTTTTTACAATATAATTTCGAATATGTAAGAAACATTACTCTACTCAACTTATACAAAATTATTATGAGCTGTAAATAGTTTTAATTAAGTTCTGCCTCTACCATTTAGCATCCACAATGCATATTTCCGTTAAACATTTTACAATATAGGGCACAATTTATATTTTGAATAATTTTTTATGATATCTCTCATTCTCTAGGGATGTAATTCTTTAGCAAAATTTACATGTATTTTACCTTCAAATTCAGTAAAATATGTGAAATTTTTCCAAATGTAATGAAATTTTTTATCTACTAGTTTGAAAAATAAGTTGATTTTAATTCGTATATAAGGGTCGGAACAGTATCTGACTTTTGGAATTATTTTACTCTTTCAAATTTTCAAGGAATCAACTCTCGGAGTGATTAATGTTATAAACAACATTTTTGTTATTCCAAATTATGTGTCTGTTTAACAATATCTGCCATAATAATTTTCAATATATTTTAAATTAAAATTTTTAAATTGAAATTCATTTGAATTATAATTCGTATATAAGTATATGTATATATGAATATTTAATTAATATTAAATAATTAAATTTCTTGTTATAAATTTTTTTGTTGTGTTCTTCATGAAAATCAGCTCAAATTTTGATAATTGAAAAAGAGAACACCATAAAAATGAAGGTAAGTACAAAATCTTAGAGCTCATTTATTTTTTAAGAGAAAATTTTCATAAAAGAAATTTTTTTTTTCCTTTCAAATTTTATAAAAGCTTTGTACAACTTTAGAAAATTTTCATTTTATATCAGAAATATTTTCAATTTTAAATTAAATTTTTTTTTGTATATTATTTTTTGATTTTTTTTTTAATTTTTTTTAATTAATTATTTTTATTTGATGTTTTTTAAATAATCAGCATATTTTCAAAGCAAGAAAATTATAAAAAAAAAATTTAAAAAATAAAAGAATTTTTTTTTTTCAGTGGAACTAGTAAATAATTTCTTTATAAATTACGCAATTTTTTTTTTTTTTGATTTTTCTTTTTTTGTAATAATCAAATGAATTTATGGATTCTTAATGGAAAATAATTATCAAATAAAATTAAAAATATAATTCAGTGTAATTATAATATGATAGCTAATATGTATGAACTAAAATGTAGAGTATATCATGTGTGTCTGTATTCTATGTATCTGTTTTTAAAAGAATATTACATATGTATATTATCAGTTATTTAATATACAAGTATTATAAGGATTATGGTTTCGTTTTTTATTATATAGTATTTTAATATTACATATGAATTATATGAATATACATCTATATATATATATATTTGTTGTATTAAATATTATGTAATAAACAGTAATTATATCATCACCAGTGTGTAAGTTTGTTTGGTATATTATAGAGATGTCAAATTGTTGTAGATATATTATTGTTATACAGTTTAATTCTGACAGTTTTTTGAGTATATATAAATTTATATTTTGAAAAAATTTCTACAGGTTATTTTTTTAAAAGATCTGTGATATTTCTATGTTCCATATAAATCAAAAATTAACTTTGCAATATATAAATAGCACATATGTACATATACATCCTATTTTAAATAGCGATTAGTACAATTAAGATTTTATGGGAGAAGCTAACAATTGATAACATTCTTGTTAACGCAAAAATTAAATTTAATTTATTATCCAATTAGCTGCGATTGTTTTAGTACTTTGTAATTGTAAACGAATTAATCTCTGTTCGTAATTTTTACGACACATTTTCACATTTTTACATCAACTATTTTGTCGTAATTATCAGATTCACCTGAGGTTTCTTGTAAATTTTTTTTTTTTTGCACCCTCTCTACCTGTCCATATAGATAATATTATTTGTGTTCTAATTTTCTGTATATGAAATATTTTGTCGTAATTTTTACGACACAATAGGAGTAACGTAGTTTTGTTTTACTAGGTGGAAATTACATTAAAATTTTGGATTCTTCGATCATGGCATTAAGTTTTTGGTTATTGAATTCTTTGGTATATGAATTGAGTTTGTTATGTTTTTTGATGAACAATTTTTGAAGTTTAATTGATTCTTATTTTATGTTTGTTTATTTTTTTCTCTCTAAAATAAAAAACTATACCGAAATTTCATAAAACACAATTTTTTTTTTTATAAAAATATTAAGAAATGAAATCGAAATTAGTTTTGATATTTATTTAAAAAGCGGAAGTAGATTGAAAAACCTATAGTTACCTTAACTTCCATCGTAAGAATTACGACACAATGCGCTAAAAATATTGTAACTATTGCTAAATTAAATTGGACTAATGCAGTTTCAAATCAAATCAAATTAGACAAAATTAATTTTAATATAAAAATTATAATTAAAGATAATCGATTTACTTCTTTTAATTTCATGCTATTCATTTGAAATTAGCAGAAAAATATCGGGAAATCTCTTCAGCAAAGGTCATATATGTAATTATGATTTTTCAATGACCTAATTTAGCTACATAATTCACCTATTATAATGTTATTGCTTTCTACATTTTTTACTAATGCTACTGTGAAGAATTTACCGTGAAAAAAGATTCCAAATAATAAAAAAATTTTTTTAACAATTTTTATTTCTTGAAAAAATTTTTAATTGGTTATGGGAAATTTACTATTTTATAAAACATTGGTTCGATATAAGTTCTTCTATTTAATTCAGAAATAATCATATTTGATTTTGAATCGTAATTTGTAATTGTTAATTATAGGAAAATCTTCTGACCTTATGCAAATCAAACTTCCTGGAATTGCATTTAATTTTTATAATATAAGTTGTGGTTGACAATAAAAACTTTTCACTATTTCAAAAAACACAATGTGGCAGTACTTTTTTTATTGTTTCTTTGTTATAATTTTTCGGATAATTCTAATTATTTAATCTGTTATAAATATTAAGTTGTTGGCCGACTGAAAATACTGTTATTTGTATTAGATAATATTGAATTCTCTAAAATTCTAATTTGATGATTAAAAGTTTAATACTACTTTATTTATATTGTAATAATATTATGTACATTAACTATTTAATATAATTTCTCTACAATATTATTTGTATGTATGTATTCAATATTATAAATGTTATTGTTTTAAACTGTGAGCTTTTTTTAATATATGGAAATTATCTACAAAATACATACATACATAATATATAATTATATTTCTTATATTATTATCTCAATAAATAACACATTTA